TATGGTAGAGAAGATAAATGGGTCCTTTTTGGTTTATTCAGGCTGAAATTCAAACAGAGAGGCAGAGGATCCTCCTCTTGGATACATCAAAATCGCCAGTTGAATCAATACGTGCAGGGGGTCGATATGATTTTATTGTGGAACATGATGTGAAGGAACTTGGAGCTCACACGTAAGTTGTATCTGCCTAGTTTGCTCAGGGACTCCTTTATGCTTATAAAACTGTTTCTTTCTAACTTGAACAAGATGTGTTGCTTCAAAATTTAGACTGGTGTGTACTGCACTGTACAATGATGGTGATGGTGAGAGAAAATATCTTCCACAGTTTTTCAAGTTCATTGTTTCGAATCCGCTATCAGTTCGGACAAAGGTACTATCTCTATACTTTTGTAATAGACATTTTTTCCTGTTAAATTGAAGCTTTGCTTCTGGTGTGCTATTATTAGATTTATCTATGTGGTTTTGCATTCCAAACTGAATATAATATGTTTCTTTCTGCTGTGCGGGTCCACGCTGTCAAGGTAGGTTGAGATTGATTAGACAAAGTGTAAGTTAAGGAAACCTAGATATGCAACTCGCTGTTTTTACATCTTCTTCATGATAACTATACTTAAAATGCATGTAAACAAGAGCAGCAATTTTCTTAAGAGGAAGTTCTTCTAGCTTTTGTATCCGGCATGTCTATAATAATCATGGTAAGGCAATTTTAATAAATGAAGTTGATATAAAATCAATGCCAGAACTTTCCTCTCACATTTTTTTTTTCTTTGCTTTTTCATATTTCTAAATGGTGCTCCATTGGCGAGTTACTTTTATCTATTTGTTTCCTGCTTACAACTTTCAAAATTATTTATATTCCTAGACAAGGCCATGCCTGTCACCCTTTTTTCTCGTTTTGATTTGTATGGTATGTGTATTGACATTAGCTTGTAATTTTTTTTAATTGGAGTTTTGATATTTGTTGGAATTACAATCTGTTTGAGGATAGAAATCCATTTCCAGATCTGGTTGACCCTGTGTTAATAATGATAAAAATTTTCATCTAATGTCTTGCTATCATCTATGTCAATTATAAACTTCTGTGATGACTATGTTTTCTTTCTCAGGGAGCTACGTATTTAGAGGGTTGCGTTGAAAATCATACAAAATCAAACCTTTATATGGATCAAGTTGACTTTGAACCGTCCCAGCATTGGAGCTCTACAGTACTAAAAGCAAATGAAAACCATCTTGTTGGCAATGATTCAACAAGGCAAGTAGCAAAATTTGTCACACTAATGTTTGACATATGTATAGCTCTAATGTTTTATGATTAAGAGATCGTGTGCCAAATCATTTCTTTCTTTCATTTTTTTTCCGTTTTTGGGCCAATCAAATTATTTTCTTTGATATTGAACTTTTTCATCTCTAAACTGACATCACCTTCACTTTATTTTTGATCCCGTGCTTGCAGAGAGATATTTAAGCCGCCAATTCTTATCAGATCTGGTGGGGGAATTTACAATTTTCTTTATAAATTGAGTCTCTCTTCACAGGATTCTGGACAAGTCAAAGTTGAGGGAACTAATATTTTGGGTAAACTTCAAATAACATGGCGTACAAATCTGGGTGAGCCTGGCCGCTTACAAACACAGCAAATACTTGGCACTGTAAGAATATGCTCTTCAATTTCTGTAAATGCTAGCTTCATTTCTGTATTGGGCTTTCAAGTCTCTCACCAACTAGAAAAATATAGTTTGACCTTTTTTTTTTTGGAATCTTAGATTACTTTCTGCACAGACTTTTAAGTATCGTATTTACTTTGGGAGTTTATGGCTTGCATGAATTAATGGCTAATTAGGTTGTATTTTTCCACTGCAAACTGATGGGGTTACCTCCCTTTGTAGGTTTTTTTGATACTTCATGGTAATCCTTGTGTTGAACCTTTATACCCTCCTTAGGTACCATTGGACATGTTATGAAGTATTATTCTGTTTTATACAAGTTCATTGCATTAAGCAGTTGGAGTGGAGTAGACTTTCTGGAATATACTTAGGACATTTTCTACCTATAATAGTTATATTTTCTTAAAGTTTTCTGGTTGCTGATGATTGGTTTTTCAGCTTTGGAATCATATTGATAGAAAGCCCTAGCAGCAGCTTTGGAATCTTAGTGTTAGAAAGCTCAAGCAGCCAAAACTCTGATTTTCTAATCAAGGATTACATGCACATAGAGAAGTTACCCTTTTATGTTAATGACATGCATATATACACATAGAATGGATCTTGTTTTCAGCTTCTGGAAATTATCTTTTGCAGCCTATTGCCCACAAAGATGTTGAGTTGCGTTTAGTGGAAGTTCCATCTGTAATCAACTTGGATAGGCCCTTTTTGGTAAATACTGTTTGTTCAATGTTTTTGCTTTATGAATTCAAGAGCATGCACTTTTTCAATAATTCTTAATGTTCTATGCTTCTTCTGTTATTGATTTCCTCTTTTGCTTCATATTCTTTATGCAATATGCTCTGGTTTCAGTGATTTAATTGACTTGACTCTATGTACCAAAAAAAAGAAGAGGATTGACTTGACTGTTAGACTATTCACTGCTTTGCAGGTACACTTGAATCTTGTAAACCATACTGATGGTAAGTTGGGCCCCTTCGAGGTTTTCTTATCACAAAATAATTCACACGAGGAGAAGGTTGTTATGATTAATGGTCTTCAGACAATGGTAATTACAGTAGCTGGCTTTGTAACATTGTCCTTGGCTTACCACAAACATTCTGTTCAAGCATTTTATGGCAGCACAAAGTTTAGTAATTGACCAACATGTCAGTCATCACTCGCTATAGTTTGTAGTAGTTAGTTTTCCTTCTTAGTAATATTTAAGAAAAACAGTCTACTGCCACACTTTTAATAATGATTTGACTATTATATACAGGCATTACCACAGTTGGAGGCATCTGGTTCCACAGATTTCCATCTGGTATGGGAAATATCTTTAACTTAAAACTGAATTTGGGTTTCTCTGCAGTAGAATGACTTTGCATAACAGTAAACATAAAACTATGCATGATCTCTTCATTTTTATTTGGTATTGTTTTATCCTATTTCTCCACCCATATACAAAATGTTGAATAAATGGGAAAACCATTACTTTTGTGATAATTCTTGTACGGCAATCCATTATTTATAATGTACTCCATCTTCAACAACTTTTACTGAGGGTTCTTTATGGTATGTTCCACCTCAACAGTTAGTTTTGTTGGTTTTTCTCAAACAAAGAAATGGAGAGAAAATCAGGAAGAACATAAACGAAAAATGGAGAGGAGTATGACACTTCAACTCAAATTTTCTCATTAACAATCTCTTCTGTATATAGGGAAATACAAACTTTAAAATAATCCACAATTCAAAAAATTTTGTATTTTCTCTAAACAACTATTCGACATAAAAAGCAGCAATAAAAGTTCATTTGAAATTTGAAATAAGTAACAGCCAATTTTGCCACTTGCTTGTGTCCTTTGGCAGCTCTGCAGCCCTTCATTCAGATGCATTTGCATTTACAGTTCATTTGCTGTTCATTGCAGCTTCATTTCATCAACATTTGCAGTTTAGCTTGCTGCACATTTTTGCTGTCATTTGACAGCTTCATTTCCATCATATTTGCAGCTAAATTGCTGCCATATTTGCTGTCAAATTGCAGCTTCATTTACTGTTAATTTTCAGCCTCATTGCTGCCATTTTATAGCAGTTTCATTTCATCATTTTTGCAGATTTGAATGCCACATTTCTAACAATAATTCCAACAAGTTTGACCCAATTAACTTTTTGTTCTATGTTTCCATCTGTAGAACCTAATTGCTACAAAACTTGGCGTCCAGAGAATTACGGGCATTACTGTATTTGACACACAAGAGAAGCGAAATTATGACCCATTGCCAGATTTGGAGGTTAGTATCCGTGTTAGGGGACATACTGTTCTCTGTAGACAACTCGAAGTTATAAATGCCCTGTTTAAATAAATCTCTCCAAACTCGGCCATGAAAGAATCTCTAAAATCAAGTTTCTTAAGGGTTGCTATCTGGCAGCTGTAATCGATACTATCTAAAGCCTGTTAGAAATGCCCTGGTGGTCAATATATTAGGTTTAACAACCTTAGTTAAAATAATTATATGTTTTTTGGTTCTGATAATTTTTTTTTTTTTTGAATATATTGCAGATTTTTGTGGATATGGATTGATTAACAGGTTAAGTACGATGGCTTTGGCTTGAGGAGACTTGCGGCTTGCGTAATATTTTAGAGAATGATTCATCAATTTAGCAAAGATGTGATTTCTACATGGCATAACTGCAAAATTAAACAG